CAAATTGGGTGTGTGAGAGAGAGAGAGAGAATCTTTTAGGGGTTTATAAAGTGGAGAGTGTGGGGCCGTTTCAATTTTATTTATTTGAAAGCCAAATCTGGCGGACGAGGAGACCGTCGATTTATATTTTTATTTCCCAATCTACCCCTTGATTTCTGTCATTATCAATTTGCTTAAATAGCATAGACCGATTTCTTTAGCTTTCATTTCATTAATGATCAAAATGTAGCTATTAGTATTATATAAAAGGAATTAGTGTTGCACTAAAATTAAGTGTTCTATATATTGACACTGATCATTGATTATTAAATTCAGTACATCTAATGACTTAATATTTTTTTAAAAATAATACTTGTATTTTATTTAGAAAATTTTAGAATTAGTTTTTTAAAAAGTAGAATTAGTAGAAAATTTAGTTTGACTCTTGTTACAAACCTTATGTTAAATATAATTGTAACAAAACTTATGTGAATCATCAACTCTATTTAGTTTAAAATTCTAGCAAGTTCCAATTTAATGTGTGTTCTACGTGGGTGATTAAATCTATGATTAAAATGGAAAGAGATCAATAAAAAAAAAATAATAATGACAGAGATGATTCAAATAGTGATTTTATGCCTAAAATGCATATTATATTTTGTATTTTATTATTGACAATCTCTCTACTGCAACAAAAAGAAGATTATTGACAACAAAAAAAGGAGAAGATTAAAAACATGTTAAATTAACAAACAAAAAAATAAGAGTGAAATGAAGGGTAGATTAGTCATTTGAGAAGAAGGAAAGAAAAACAAAAAGAGAGGAGCTTGAATGGCTGGCTAGTCGAGAAAGGCCCACAAAACCAATGAGCCACCGACCGACCAAACCGTCCTCACCATCAAAAACTCTTTCTTTTCTAATTTATTTCTTTTCGATTTGACCCCTCAGCTTTTATTTCCATTTTTATTTTCCCCTAATAGTGACGCTTTCGCTTTTTATTTTTTATTTTGTTCATTTCCAAAGTCGTGCAAATGAAAATGAATCGTCACTATAATATTCTTATTTATTTTATTTTCTCTTTTAATAATTTTCAACATGACAACAAAACGATAAGTTTAAAATCAACACAATTAGTATCACGATTAATCCAATGATATGCACTACGTAATGTGTTTTTTTTTTTGTATGACACTACGTAATGTGTTTGGTTCAAACGATTGAGTACGTGAGAAAAAAACATGATTAACATAACGAAAGGTCGCAAGTAAATCCATGCATTTCTATAACCGGTGAATCGGTGATGTTAGCATATGCATGCACTTTGGTTGATGCATTAAAAGTTTCTTGAAATCCGATTGTCACTTTGGATTGTCGGGCCTAATTACATGTTGCAGAAATGATCTACGTCAAAATGTAAATTCATTTTAATGATGGTTGTGTTATCATAATCATAAGATCTACCGAAGTTTCTGATATATATTACGAATTGAATCATAATATGCTATAATCTTGTATGGTAGGGATCAAATTACCATTA